AAGATGTTCAACATCACTAATTATCAGGGAAATGCAAATTAAAACCACAATGAGAAAACACTTCACACCTACTAGAATGGATAGTTATCAACCAATAAAAATTAAGTAAGTGTTGGAGAGGCATGTAGAAAATGTAAATGGTGCAGCCCCCATGGAAAAGTTTGGCAACTCCTCAAAAAATATTTAAAAATAAAATTACCATAACTCAGGGGCTGGGATTGTGGCTCAGTGGTAGAGTGCTCACCTAGCATGCAGGAGGCACTGGGTTCAATCCTCAGAACCACATGAATGTAAAATAAAGGTATTTTGTCCACCTAAAACTAAAAAATAAATATATTTTTTTAAAATTACCATAATCCAGAAATTTCATTCTTAGATACAAACCTCCCCCCAAAATTAAAAGAGGACTCAAATATATACTTTCATGCAAATATTAATTGCAGCATTACTAATACTAGTCAWATGATGGAAACAACTCAAGTGCCTATCAATCAATGAATGGATAAACGAAATGTAGTATATATACATACAATGGAATATCATTCAGCCATTAAAAGAAATGAAGTTCTGATACATGCTACAACATGAAGAATATAAGCTGGATATAAAAGGACAAGYACAGTATGATTCYACTTACTTGAAATATCTAGAGTAAGCAAATTCATAAGAGACAGAAAGATTGCTAAGGGATGGGTGGGGATTGAGAATGTGCTAAGAATTGCAGGATAACTTCCTGGGCTTAAAAAAAATGTTCTAAGATTGTGAGGATGGATAAATGATTTTGCAATTATGCTAAAAGCCATTGGATTGTATCCTTTGGATGGGTAAATTTTATGGGTATRTGAATTATGTCTCAGTAGAAGGGTTAAAAGAAAAAAAGAGGTAGACTGCACTGATTCAGGAACCTAACTTCAGGAAAGGTTTGCACTTAGATGTTTCATACCAAGGAGAAAATAGTTGTCATCAAAAGATAGCTTTACCTTCTATTTGMACAACCAGTTCATAARATATAACTTTTTAGCTACTTGTTCTTCTGTGGTCTCTAATTGGTCTATTAGAATTTCTTGCTTTCATAATTTGAAACCTTTAAACAAGTTGGAATGTTCATGTAGTTTTAAATACAGCAAAAATGATTGAAACATAAAATATGGGAAGCAAAAATATTTGCATTTATTGAATATATAATTGTGTAGAATCATTTTGAAAATAAACTACCTAAAAACGTGGATTACTTTGGAGTTCCTACTGTTTGTACTTGGAATTGTCACAGGAGAAGAGATATTTCTGAGGGAAAGTCTGAGGAATTCCTGGAGAGAAGGGGAAACTCCACTCAAGATAGTGGGGTCCTTGGCATTCGTTCTAGAAAGAATTTCAACACGTAGCCAGGGGGCACACACCTATAATCCCAGCAACTCCGGAGACTGAGGCAGGAGGATTAAAAGTCTGAGGACAATTTAATGAGGCCCTAAGCAATTCAGCAAGATGCTGATTAAAAATTTAAAAATTTTTAAAATTTAAAAAATAAAAAGGGCTGGGATGTAGCTCACTGGTAAAGCGTCCCTAGGTTCAATCCCCAGTACCAAAAACACAAACAAACACACACAAAAAAAATGTGAATTTCAGCATGTGCCAGTCAGAGACATTTATTTAGGAAAGCAGAGGCACTTTCAAGGCATAATGTGGGCTATCGTAAGAGYAAGAATTTTTGGAGGTAAACCAAGGAATACACATTCAAAGCAGAATATGGACCATCTCAATAAGGAGAAACAGCAAACTGTCAGTATATCATGTTAATATTTATACAGGGACAGTTGCTAGGGGTTGGACTAAAGGAGGAGTCATGGCCAAGTTACACAATATCTCACTTGTTTTCCCTGCACTTGGCATTGCCCCAGTTACTTTTTGCAGGCCATCTTTTGGGTCAAGGGCAAGGGTTGGGTTGCTCAGGAATTGCAACTGTTCAAGGATGTTTTCTGCATTTTCAATGGTTTATGGGCCCTTACTTTGAGATTCAGTATTTCTCCCTTTTTTTGTATCCCCAAATTCCTATCTCAGAATGATCACAGTAAATTTTCTATACGAAAAATGTGAAACACTTTCAACAAAAATCAGAACATATTAGAAAGCTATAGTTCTGCTTATAACATTAAATAATATAACTACTAGTATTTTAATTATAATAAATATTAAAATAGCCTACAAAAAATAATAAAATCTCTACAAATTAACACATTTACATTCTTTTATAAGATTATTTTAGGATTATTCATTACTCATTATTTAGAAGTTCTAACTTCTAAATAGAACTTCTAAATAATAGAAAAGTTCTAAATCATATTAAAAATTTTTTTTTAAATATCTAGGAYTGGAGATGTAGCTCAGTGGTAGTTTGCCTAGCATGCCTGAGAGCCTGAGAATGATCCCTAAAGTGTGTGCGCACGCGCACACGCGAGCACACACACACACACACACACACACACACAATTCTAAAATGGAAGAAAAGCAATAATCATGGAAAAAAGGCAGAAAAAATTTAATCCTACAAAAATCATGAACCTAACCTGTTTAAATGTCTTAGAAACGCAAAGGATTTACAAAAATATTCATCTGAAACTTTTTATATTTAAAATGTTTTAGAGGATTTTCTAGATGTCACCCTTCCCCCCCCCCAGAGTAACTTATATTTAACTTGATAAGTAATTACTAAGGTTCCATATAACTAGCTTCTACTAGCTTCCATAGGAAGTGCAATAGAAGCACCAAGTTAATTCAAATACAGGTRGTACATGCATTCTGTAATCCCAGTGGTTCAGAAGGCTGAGACAGGAGAATCACAGATTTGAAGGCTGCCTGGGCAACCTTGCAAAACATCTAAATCTTTTCACTTGTCTATCCCAATTTCCAGTACCTACTTTGGACCATCATGTCTCATGGGGATATTTGCAAATATCTTTAACAAGTCTTTGTATCTTAAGCTCTTATTTCATCAAGTGATTCTTATAGGTTTTTAGAGTTCTCAAAAATAAAGTCATCTCAGGGAAAAATTGAATGTTATACAAATACAACCATTTTATTTTTGAATAGTATATTACTAAGTTCTCTGTAGGAAAAAATATATATGTATATGCATCTAAATTGTGTGTATTTGAAAGAATTACAAGGAATTGACTCCTGTGATTTTGGTGGCTGATGACCCAGTTCAAGTCTGAAGGATGGGAAATTGTTGTAGAACCAGGAAGAGCCAATTCCCAGTTCAATGGGTGTCAGGCAAAATTCCCTTTTGTTAGAAAGACAGTCAACCCTTTGTTCTAGTCAGACATTCAGTGATTGGTTGAGGCCACCTATATTACAGAATGTTCTCTAATTTGCTCATTCTATAAATTTAAAAATTAACCTCATCCAAAAAAAAAAAAAAAAGAAAAGAAAATCCCAGAATGCTGTGTTGGACCATATATCTGGACACCTGTGGCCAGTTAAATTTACATTATAAAATTAACCATCATCACAGGCTAGACATGGTGGTGCATGCTTATAGTCTGAGCACTTGAGAGGCTGAAAGCWGAATTGCTTGATCCCTGGTGGAAGACCCCCATACCAAACAAAAATGAACTTCTCTGTGYACCACACATGGTAATACCAATGTATGTAAAGCTAAGCTGTGGGCTACTGGATTCCAAACACCAGCAGCTTTAAGTTTACAGCTAAGGAATTAACAAAAAATACCCACAGAACGATTGTTATAAAATCCTTAGGAGGAATTAACCTAAAATGACTGCAACTCAAAACAATTAGAAATCAGTAACATTTTTTTTTCTTTTTTAACTTAAAAAAACTGTGATGCGGGGAAACACATACAAATCACATTTATGGTACAGCTAAAACAAGGGAAATTTACATAGAGACTTGGCTGGGAGTGCGTAAGCAAATAGATCAAAAGAAAAGAATAGGGAGCTCAGAACTGGCACTTTTACATGATAAGTGAACAACAGATGTTGCACTGAAACAAGAGTACTTGGAGGAACAGCTATACACATGCAAAAATAAAAAAGATTCTAAAATCATACAATAAGAAAAAAATTTCAGTTGGATTAAACACCTAAATATATATTTTTTAATTATTAGAAGGACTAATAGGATATCTTAATGACATTTCCTATTTTAAAAAAAAAACAGAACTACTTGGTAAGAGTACATTAAAAATAAAAACCATTAGTCAAGGAGACTCCATAATCAAAATAAAGACAAACCAGTCTAGATAAGGTGGTTGAAATATACCTAACAGATCAAAGACAAAAATAGAAAAAGGACAAAAATAGGGTCTGAGAAATCATTCACTGCATTTTCTTGATATTCTGGTGGTTACACACATCAGCACTACTGAGTGGTGCCCAGGGACATGGATAGCAGCAGGCAAGGGACCAGTAGGGCCATCTGCAGGCCAGCTACCAAATAAAAATACATAAAACAATAGTTTGTAGTGCTTCAAAAAATACCTGTGTACTAAAAATATGAACACACAAACTAGAATATACACCATCTCTAGGACAGTAGTTACGTTTAGGGAAGAAAGGAGGGAACAAGATTGAAGAGGTAACAAAGTAGGCTTTCAATATATCTGAAATTAACATTTACACACACACACACACAAACACACACAAATCTGAATAGGAAAATGCTATTTATAAAATCTTCATTGTAGGAATATACTGATTCTCTTTTTTTTAAGTTGAAGATGGATTCTCTTTTTAAGTTGTASATGGACACAATATTTTTATTTATTTTTATGTGGTGCTGAGGATTGAACCCAGTGCCTCACTCCTGAGAGGCAGGTGTTCTACCACTGATATACAACCCTAGCCTGGAATACACTGATTCTTTAAATTGATAATTTGTCCTATTTGCAATATATCAAAACCTTTAAAATAATAAGCCCAAAGAAATGGAAACAATATTTGCTTTTAATAAGTTTATTTTTAGACATTTTAAAAATTGCAACTTTCAGAATATATAAGAAAAATATTTTTATAATACTGAAGTAAGCATCTCTTTGGTATAAAAATCACACAACATGTGTGATCTTTAACTAAAATAATTAATCAAGAACTATGACCTAATATGCTAAACAAAACTATTCTTTGCCCATCCATATGTCCCCTTGTATCACCCCCACTATGGGGCTTTAAGAATATACTTCTGTACACATCTCCATATCTACAAAGAATTAAGATGCCACATCAAATATGTTTAAAAATTATATATAGTAGAGCATTAGAGCTAGCTCAGTTGTTGACACACGACACAAACCAACAAAAAGCAATATAARATACAAGACACATAAAATAGAACATTGTCACTGAGATCAAATAATATGAAAACAATTACTTCATTTAAATTTGATATTCTGGAAACAGAGCAATTTCTTTAGAATTATTATGTAAGTAACTTGCAACTCAGTAATAGTACTGAGTCAAAAATTTGATAAGATATTTTTAAGATAGTACTCAAACATTCAAAATGTAAAATACAAGAAATATTAAMGATAAAAGCAATTAACCACAAATAGGGCAAAAACATGCATTCTTTCCAGACGTGCTTTCATTTCAGACATCCTTTTTTAAAAAGCATCTTAGAAAGGCAAAAAAAAATTATATTTTAAGAAACTATCATCAAAGTTCAAATCCCCATTTAAAAAACAATGTTTTCCTTCAAGTCAATGAAGTTCAGATTCATACATTTTTGAAAAACAATTACAGTCTTCATGCTAAAAACATGAAGGAAAAAAAGCTTTTAGTTATGTTTCTCAAGTCTTTTATTCAACAAGCATTTAGCAAGTATTGTGTGACACTGTTTCAGGTGCTGAGGATATAAAAGCAAGACTTAGTCACTGGTTTTGGAGAATTTACCCTAATGGAGGTGGATTCATCATTAGAAACCTTAGTTACCTCCTTTGGGCCATAAATTGAAGCTCAACTTCAAATTCTACTATTCTTGCATCTTCTTTTAAATAATGTTCTGTGTAGTATGCTACTGGTAGTCCTGTGGCACTATTAACATTATCTACTGATGGAATTAACTTCCATAAAGGATTCTACAAAAGTTTAGATGGCAGAAAGTATTTAAGAATAAACAAATACTGGTCTGCATCAAAAATATCAGTATTCTGCTTTCATAAAAGTCAAGAAAAAGTTCTGTGAGTATACAGAACTGCTGGAAACAGATCATCCTATGTATGCAGTACATGTGCAAAAATCGTATGTTAAGAAGTATGTTACACGGTCCATTGCTGGAACAGCTAGCTAAGCAGGCCAAATCAGTTGTCAGGTTTCAAAGAGTCATAGCCTTCTTTCAGGAGGTCCCGCCAGGTTTTAAGGAAACGTGCATTTTCTGTACATTTGAGGGCAAGCTCTTCCACTTGAGCTGATACTGCAGATGTGGCTTCGAGAAGTTTGGTTAGAGAAAAAGCTGCCTGAAATTAAAAAAAAAAAAAAAAAACAAAAACATAAGTTTATTTTTAAAATTCTCATCTCATTTTATAGTCTAAGTTAAATTCGCTCAATACTTTAAACCCAATGCCCAAGTTATTTTCTTTAAAAGTAATAGATTTTCAAATTAAAATGCTAACTCTTTCAGGGAACCTAAGCAAACACTGTTCCCAGATAACACACCAGGAATTAATTTTACATATTTACTTGTAACCAGTCTTATTCTGTAAAAATAGATCCTGATTCATCAAGAGAGGGGGGGAGGGAGGGAGGGAGAGAGAGAAAGAGACAGAAAGAAGGAAGGAAGGAAAAGAATTTGAGTTCAGTCCCCAGTTTCCAATGTGCACAGGAAGGTCTATTCCACAAGTTACCCCAGGAAGGTCATGCGTTACAAACTTCACTCCACTTGCCACACTCAAGCGTCCATAAATACGGWATTTGTGACCCCCACCACTGGGCTCCAATGGTATATGTGATAAGGTTGGGAGGCTAGGTGCTAGTTTCTGAAAATCGGAGATTTAACAGAAATCTTCCAGACTATGCATTCCTTAGCATTCATAGGGAGAAGTCCTGTACTAAACAGTTAAASAAACCGACAGAGACGTCAGGGGCTGTGACTAAGCCCTCCCAGATGGGTCCAGCGCAAAGCAAGCCTGGGAGACAATAGCATTACCAGCTGGCTCTGGGCAGATGGCCAAGTAKAACAGCGAGCTCTAAGTCCCTCAGAAAGAAATCACAGCTGGGTCCAAATCACCAACAGGCAGCAAGGCTACCGGAYCGCGCATTTAAAAGTGGGAGAAGAGCGGGCAGAAAGATCTGGCACCAACAAGCGCAGATGAGATGCATGGTTTCGGGTTACAGCAGATGATTGAAACCAGAAGTCGAAGCAAAAAGACAACAGGGGTGGGGCAGTGGAGAGACAGCTCCTTAATTCCTTGACTCGAAATCTACAGGCAGAATTTCTGTATGGGCTGGCACTTTAGCCGTTATCATCGCCCACCCTTAGGATGTGGGAGCTGGTGTAGGGCTGGGCCCGGCTCCCTCCGTCTCCCGGGCTCGGTAGGGTCTATCTTAAGAGAATCCCCAAGGGGGACGCGGTCCCACACTTATAGAGCAACGCGACACTCACATCTCCTATCTGCAGCTCCACTTCCTCCAGTGGGTCCACGGTTCGGCCACTGCTCCTGCTCGAATCCCGCCAGCCCAAACTCATTGGGACACCGGGGGAAGATGCTGAAGAAACGTCGGAAGAAGAAGGAGAGGAGGGAGGCGGTGGGGGAGGCGAAGAAACACGAAACTCCTCAGGATCAGCCATGGGAAAAGGCTGGGACCGCAGAGCCGGACCTAAACAGCAGAACCGACACCAACAGTCTTTCAATCGCTCGCGCCCAAAGCCCAGAGGCTCCGCCTCCTCCCCCCCGAAGTCCCGCCCCGTCCTCTCGTGGATCTCAGWCCAAGACCACAAAGACTTTTCGTTTTTCGCGACAGCCAATCAGACGTCAGTCAAGTCACCTTGGGCGGCTCACCGCTCCTGCGCAAACCTCCTGTTGGGCCTCCAGTTCTGCCGGGGCAGAAGACTACAACTCCCAGGGTGCTGTGCGCGTCTCCCGACTCCTGCTGCCWCTTACTGCTCGTGCGCATGCGTTTTCGGGGTACCTTGCGCGACTCTCCCGCCCCAATTCGGCTTTAGAGCTAGACCTTTGGCCTACTGGTGCGTGGGTCAGGAGGAAGCGCAGGCTCAATCCTCAACCTGAAGCCGCAGGGCGCCTGGGACTTGAAGTCTCTTTCTCTTTTGCTACTTGACCCGGAAACCTGTTTTTGCTGTCGCGTCATGTGTGGCGCCCGCGCAGAGAGGGAGGGAGGCGGGGACGCCGCGAAGCAAGGGCGGTCGGTGGATCCGAAAGGCAAACTTTAGCCGGAGAGTAGGTGTAACCTGGCAGGTGATGGCGCCCCCCGTGGCATAGAGGTCCAGCGCCCTCCGCGAGTCTCAGACAAGTTCTTCCGTGGTGTCCGACAGAGAAAGTCCTGATTATTTTGAACATGTTGGTGCGGCTAGCCAAGCTGTCCTGCCCGGGTGAGAGGGAACTCCTGGTGGGGACCAGTGAAGGAAGGTGAAGGATTTGGGCGAAACAGACTAGCCCACGCCTCGGGGCTGTAGACACCCCTCCCGTCCCACCTCTCGTCTATTTTCTCAGGCTAGACTGGGGCAGAGGTGGACCCTGTCTGCCTCTGGAAATGGACCCTGGCTTCCTCCCCWTGGGGTTGCCACAATTGGGAGAATTCATAACTAGGTTAAAGGTCACGGGCAGAGGAAAGTTGTCAACACGGCCCCCTCAGTGGACTTCTGAATTGAGTGTTCCTAAATCTTGGTCCTAATGCACATCCCAAAGCTCAGGTGCTATATGTTGCCTTGCTAAGAGTGGGAAAAAATAATATTTGTACAGTTTTTCTTCTTGGTCCTGACCTGACTCGTCTTGCAGTCATCCTAGTCTAGTCTTAAGAATTTGAAGTCTGATCTGTCACATCGTGATTAACATTCATATGCTGCCCAAGTCACAAATTATATCTGGAGTTAGGAATTTTTCTGCATTATCTAAAATTAACTAGAGGCTTATCGTTTTGGGTGCACCTTGACGCTGTTACACGTTTTTATAAAGTTTTACTTTAAAACAATATGTATTTTTTAAATTCAAACAAAGTTTAGAAGACCTTAAATTCCAAGTTAAAACTTGCTATATATTTTAAACGAAGTTTTGGTTATAAAATAATGCTTAAACAAGAATAAATGTTTAAAGTTCAAGATGTTCGTATTAAATTTCATGAAAGTAGAATTTTGTTAAATTTGGTCCCCTTATAAAGTTTCTGTTACCCGTGAATCTATTGTGCACCTAATGCATGGATATTCTTTGTTTTGTTGACCATTGGTAATGTCAGATGCTATCTACTCTACAGCCTAATTTAGGTGCATTCAGTCTTAGCCCAGTAACTCTTTTTTCTTTAAATACTTACTCATTGCCATTTTCCTAACCTGGTGTTAGCACTAGTGTGAGCAAAGAGTTGGAACTCCAGTGTTCTGCGGTGTCCAAATCAGTGTGAGTGATATGATGGTGTTATGGGTTCAGTGGACTTTGTGACTTCACTTCTTAACCCAAATTCACAGTGCCTAACTGAAATCTCTAAAGTAAGAGATTTCATTTGTTTTCAGAAAAGGCTGTGGCTTTTTTTTTTTTTTTTAAAGATCCCCTGGAAGAAATCAGGACTGGGGATGTAGCTTGGTAGTAGAACACCCTTGATTTTAATCCCCAGTACATGGAGGTGGGGAGGATACATTCAACTTGCAATTGGGTACTGAATAAAAATAATTAGCGTTTGCCAGGCTGATCTTTATTCAAACATGTCATCTTCAGTTAATTGGAAAGAAAGAAAACAATTTTACCACAGCCTCAAATTCAGTGACTTCAGAGATAATTTCAAGTTGATTAATAGTCTCATAACTTGACAGACTGTTAAAATTGAGATTGCGTTTGAATTTATTTGTATCTTCTGTAAATGGGGATTGTAGCTGCCTCATATATCTCATAAAGTGATGAAAGGATAAAATTCTTAGCCATCAGTATGTCCACAAAAGAGTAAATTATACAGTCCAAATCCACTGAAATTATTTTGTTGATCTTTGCTATTTACTGTTTACAACACATTTTTAGAAGTTTATTCATTTGTAGATAGATGCTTCATAGTAGTGACATTTTGAAAATTAGGAAAGGCCTTATTGTTATTATRCCAGAAATTAAACAGAGATTTGCAGGCTTCTCTATAACAGTTGTTAACTAGGAAGGCACCTATCCAGTTAACAAATAGGTATTTAAAACTTGCTTTGTATAAGACATATTCTAGATCCTTCATAGATTGACTATAAACCTTATAGTAAATGGATAAGGAGAAGTAACTTGCTAAAAACATCATTGCTATTAATAAATTCAAACACTGAGGAGATAGACTTTACTTTTGTATTTTTGTGGCTGGCTTCTTCCATTTTGCAATGTTATTCACAAGGATTATCCATGTTGTAGCATCTATCAGTACTATCAATTTTTCGTTTTTATTGCTGARTATTATTTAATTGTATGAGTACATCACTATCCATTTACTAGTTTACATTTGGGTTTTTTCCACTTTGTGGCTATAAACATTTATGTACAAGTTTTTGTGTGGACATGTTTTCATTTATCTTTGAAAACCCTGTTTAACCTGTTTCCCAAAAAGTTGTACCATTTTATATTCCCACTAGCAGTATGTGAGGTTTTCAATATTTCCACATCCTTGCCAGTACTGTCTTCTTGAATATAACCATCCTAGTGAATATAAAGTGGTATTTCATGGTTTTGATTTGCATTTCCCTATGTTCAATGATGTTGAGCATCTTTTAATGTGTTTCTTTGGGAAAACATCTATTCAAATCCTTTGCCCACTTTTTAATTGGTTTAGGTGTCTTTTTGTTATTAGATATAAGATTTCTTTGTATAGACTGAAGATATTCTAGATACAAGTCTCTTATCACATATATGATTTACAATTATGCTTTCCCTTGTATGGATTATCTTTTCATTTTCTTTTTTAAAAAAATATTTTTAGATGTAGATGGGCATAATAACTTTATTTATTTATTTTTTTTAATGTGGTGCTGAAGATCAAATCTAGTGCCTCACACATGCTAGGCAAGWGCTCTACCACAGCCACAACCCCAGGCCACTTTTCACTTTCTTAATGGTATCCTTATTAGCACAAAAGTTTTTCATTTTGGTGAAATGCATTTTAATTATTTTTTTCTTTTGTTTGTGCTTTTGGTTGTCATATCAATAATTTACACCAATATTTTATAGTTTTAACTCTTATATTTCAGTCTTTGAACTTCTTTTTGAGTTAATTTTTATACTACCATAATCTTTTAACTTTTTATTTCAAAATAATTTTTAACTTAGATGAGTTGCTAAGATAATACAGAGTTCCCATATACCCTTTGCTAAGCTTAATGTCTTACATAACCATAGAATAATTATCAAAACTGAGAAATTAACATTAATGAAATACTACTAATTAACTACAAACTTTATTCAGATTTCCTTTTTCTGTTCCAGTATTCAGTCCAGAGTACCACCTTGCATTTACTTGGTCTACTTAATTGTGACAGTTCCTATATTAATTCTTATCTTTCATGACCTTGAGACTTTTATGTATATTTGTCAGGTATTTTGTAGAATGTCTTGTGATTTATCTTGATTACAGAGAGATTAAAGATTTTGAGCGTGTATTTTATAGAAGTGAAGAATCCTTTTCATTGCAGCATATTGATGTATGATACCAATAGGTCTTGCTGGTGATATTTAAACTTGATCACTTGGTTAAAGTCATATTTCTCTACTGTAAAGGTGATATTTTTCTCTTTTASTATTCTTTCTTGCTAGAAACTATTCTATATGTCCAACTCACATTCAAAGGGAGGAAAATTAAAGATTTTATGGGCATATCTCAGTGTTTTATACTGTGATAGTTCTGTCAAAATCTTTGTTGAAAGGGAATTTATTTGRCATAAGGAATAGGATATACATTTTTCCAAATGGCTTTCATCTATTTTTGWACCTCTAATAAGTGACTATCTCCTCATGATTTGGAATAGCATCTTTATCATATACCACATCCTTTTGTGTATTCTACTTCTGAACTCTTTTTATTTGTTCATTATTCTGTCCCTTCTCTTGTTTATTAGRTAGTTTTTAAATATCTAAAATTCACAAACTTTGTGACCAAATGCTAACTGAATTGCCTATCTAAGAAAGAATAGAATCTGCTCACATTTGAATCATTTTTTAAGAAGCTATTCAAGYGGGGCTCAGTTTCACATGCCTGGAATCCCAACAGTGGCTCTGGAGGCTGAGACAGGGGAATTGCAAGTTCAAGGCCAGCCTCAGCAATTTAGCAAGCCCCTGAACAACTTAGGGAGAATCTGTCTCAAAATAAAACATTGAAAAAAAAAGTTTGGAGATGTGGTTTAGTTACCCCTGGGTTCAATCCCCAGTACCAAAACAAACAATAATGATTAAAAAAAAAAAAAAACAGTCATTCAGCTTATGTTTTTTCAGTTTACTCCTAACGAGAACTAATTTTAAAAAATAAAATAATGTTCATAATTTTTATACAGCCTATCATTGCTTTCATGCCTTAAAAATTAAGAAAAATTATCTACCTCTCTGTGCTACAAGATGGTCTTCAACTTCTGTTGTACCTCAAATCACTACCCACTATACTATTTATCCCCGGGATAAAGACAAGMGATGGGAAGGTAAGTAATAATTTGTGTAAAATTGTTGAAACTTTTCTAGATACTTTATATCAYTTTGTGGAGAGGAATATTTTATTTTTCATGATAATTTAAAATCATCTAATAATATTTTATGGCTTTACCAAGTGTGTTATATATTACTACATAGATAAGTAAATATTTAATAAATTTATGATAATCTCAAAGTCAAAAGTTGCTTTATGGAAGCTAACATAAGATATGCACTGGGATAGAACCTAAGAGAGCATCAAACT